AGCTTTTGGGAAACTTGGGTAATTTCCACGTCAGAATGAGTCAATGAATAAAAAAAAAAGTATATAAGTGTTTATTATATATCAAGCACTATGTTAACCATTGGGGATATACACAGGAAAGTACGTCAGTCCCTGTTCTCAAGGAGCTCACATTTTAACTGGGGAAGATAATACATACAAAAGGGTTTGGCCACAGGGGAGATGGAAGGGTTTGGTAGTCCTAGAAGTCTAGTTATAGGGTGAATGGCGAGGCCTGGAAGTCATTAGATTGTAGGGGGTGGAAAGCATGTTGGCAAGAGAGATGGTAAGGCCCAATGGTCGTACATCTTATAACAAGGATTGTAGCTGATGGTGACTACCTGTTCATACAAACAGTGTGAGCACCCATGTCTATCTGTCCAGCTGAACTCACTGTAGGAAGGTAGAGAGTGGGCCTGCAGGCAGAGAGGAAGGAACAAACAAGTAAAGTGAAGTTTGGGGAGAAGAGTACAACCTGTGGTGCCAGCTGCTTCTGAGGCCCTCCTGACGGGATGGAAGGCAGGCCAGGGCAGAGATTAGGAAGCATATGCACCTAACGGTCATTCTCAACACCAGTTACTAAGGAACTTGCCAGTTACCAAGTCAGATCCCTTCTTTCCTCTCTATTGGCACTTACGACACCCAAGCAGAGGCTCTAATTATTACCCTAAATTACTACAACTGCCTTTTTAGAAATAAATTTTTATTTATCTCTTTTGTCATTTACATCACCTAAATATCCCTCTCTATTCCTCTCTTCTTTCTCCCAGAGAGCAATCTCATGCAACAAAAAAAATTTTAAGGGGAAAAAAAATTAGCATAACTGATCGATACATTGAAAAGAACCTGAAAACACATGCACTCTTCCAAACCCATGGACTTCCCACCTCTGCAAAGGAGCAGAGGAGATGTCTTTTCATAGCTTACCTGGGACTAAGTTTTTTATCTGTAATTCTGCAACATTTAATTTTTATTGTCTTGTGGTGACTGTTCTATCCATTTATTTGTTGTAGTCTCAGCAGTTTTCTAACAGTTCTCTCAACCTCAATTTCTTCCCTCCAACCTATCCTTCATATCTTTACCAGACTAATGTGCTTTGGGTGTAAAATGTGATCTGTCTACTGAAAATCTCCAGTGGCTCCTAGTGACCACCCAATAAAAAATGCATTCATTGCCATCTACCCATCCTACCTATCTCATCTTCTTTCATGCTCCTCCCCACTACATATGACACATTCTAGCCAACTGGACAAATCTGGTCCCCAAAACACCTTGCATATTTTTGCCTCCATTCTACTGTTCACGCTATTCCTCCCAACAGCAATGTCTTCCCTTCCCCTCTTCATTTTCTAAATTCCTACCCATCCCTTAAAGATCAACTCGTTATGCTGACTTCTCCAGGAAGGCTTCCTGGGCACCTTCATTAATAACTGACTTGCCTCCCTTGCCATGTGTTATCCGTACACAGGTCATAGAGAACTCTATGAGGGCAGGGTCCACGGCCCATCTTAAGTGTGTATCTTCTCCAGAGCACAGGGTTCTAGACAACAAATGCCTAAAAATTATTCTTTGCTTTGTTGCTGGGAGACTTTAGAGACGTGAGTCATACTTCAGGTATGAGTTAGGCTAGATGACTCTGGGGGGCCCTTCTTACCCTAAGGTTCAATAAGGGAATTCTATAGTAATGCAATTGGAACAGTAGGGCTCCCACAGATTGATACTAAAATCTACATTTAAAATTTTCATAAATGAGCTAGAACTATCCCAAGGTTACAGGTGTACTCTGGGTTGTGTTTCTGACTCTAAGGGCTCTGCCATTATGATTCAGCTGCCCTCTCACCCTGGAACTTCCCTCAATGCCTAGGACTTTCTCACTCCAAAATAGTCCTCTGCCATGACAGCCCTCTTCTCCCACTGATGAGTTCCTTTCACGGTTTCTATTTTCAGAAGGGGCCCAGGGCCCCTCATGGCTGGCCTTCTGACTCTGAGAATTTTCCCCAACATGCTCCCACACTGGTACCCTTTATGTCTCCTTCTTTCCACCTCCTTTTATGTGTTGTATTCTCCCATTAGAAGGTAAGCTCTTTGAGGACAGGGACTGTCTTTGTTTTGCCTATGTTTGCACCTCTAGCAAGTAGCTCAATGCCTGGCACACAGTAAACACTTAATAAATGCTTGTTACCTACCTAATGAAATGCTAAACTGACAGGAATAAATGTTAATTAAGAGCTTGCAAAGTTATGCCACTGAGTAGAAAAGTGGCAAAAGATCATCAATGGGGGCAAAAATAAGGTTGAGGCATTTAGGGAAAAAGCATCTAAGCTACATTTAAGAAATTACAGTTCCAGTTCTAAGCTATGACCCAGGCCTGGAGCCATCAGAAACCATATCTCAAATACAATGGCATAATCACAATTCACACTTAAGATTTACAAAGGGCTTTCTTCCCAACAACCATGAGTTAGGAAGTACCAATTCTGTTTATGGATAGGGAAAATGAGATACACTGCGGTTAAGCGATTTGCCAAACAAAGCCAAGTAAGCGTCAGGACTCATCTACACGTCTTCTGTCTCTCAGACCAAGGTACTTTCCACTACAACACTATGCCCTTTCTGTACACCAACCAAAAACAGAAAACCATGAAACATCAGATGTCTGAAATAAAACTATGTTATCCTACCAGGGCACAAAACTAAAGCCTCTGCATACCTGGCATCTCATATGTGTTGTTTTGGTCAGCCCATTTCCAAAAGAAAAGACAGCTGGAAAAAGCACAGAGAACAACTAAAACTATCAAAAGGACAAGGGGGTCCTTTTTTTTAATTAAGGAGGAAATCTTTAAAAAACAAAAAATCTTCAAGTGGGAAAGAACAGGAAAAATGGATGTGATATAATAATGATAATAGCTAACATTTATACAGTACTTACTATGTGTCAGATACTGTGCTAAGCACTTATTATCTCCTTTGATCCTCTTAAAAACCCTGGAGATTGGCACTGGGATTATCCCCATTTTACAGATGTGAAAACTGAGTCAGAGAATAAATAACTTGCTCAGGATCACACAGCTAAGGAGTGTCTGAAACTGGATTTGAACTCAGGTCTTTCTGACTCCAGGCCTGGTGCTCTATCCAGTGTGCTACCTAGCTGCTCCCAAGTAAGTGTGGCTAGGGCAAAGGCAGATTTGTTTACCAAATCGCAGAAACTAGACATTGTAGGACAAATAAAAGTACTTTAAACATTAAAATGTGTAGCAAATTTGTGCAATTTATTATCACAAGTGATAGTTCAGGTTGAGTTCCCCATACCAACGAAATCAAAGGTCTAATTTTTTTTAAAATGGATGACACAAATATTAGGGGAAAGAAGGTATGTTGAGCTGCTAACCTACTGAGGTCAACGCTACATGTCCTTACCCAAAATGATAATACTGTTCAACAAAATACTGACCTAGAAGGACCGTGGGTTTGACCCAGTCTGCCATTTATATTCTTATGATATAAGCAGAGAGAAGATCACGGGGGCTGGGTGAGAAAAGGAGGAAGTGATAACTAATGACCACTAATAACACAATAATTATTCAAAAAACACTGGCTGATAGGACCAAACCACCCCTGATGTGGTTCTCAATGATAACATATGGTTGTCCAGGGCTGGAAGGGTAGCTTTCAGGACGTTAAAGACAAAGAATGGATTGTAAGAACTGATTAGGAATCAACAGTGGCTAAGGAAGTCATACTATTACACAGAAATTAAAGTCCCTACGACCTAAGCCATGAAAAGAAGGAAGACACAAAGTGGGAAGAACACTAAGGTCAGAAGGCCTGGGTTCGAGTACTGACTCTATCACCAGTCAAGAGTCTGACCATGGCCAAAGCAAATTCTCAGAACTGTAGTTTCTCCTTGGTACAACGAAGGGGCAGGAGCAAGTAATGCTATCCAAGGTACCTTACAGAACTAACATTTTATGTTGTCTAATTGTAATTAAAGAAAGAGGAAAGTTACATACGGATATCAGGACAAAAGTCAGTACAGCTTAAAACTCAACACAGAAGTTTTACTGGTGGTTCCTTCCCAGTTGTCTGTGACAATGGACACTACCTTCTGAAGCCCATCAAAATTCCACAGAGGTAAAAAAAAAAAAAAAAAAACTTAGAAATGAGGCAGAATACCAAATGGAATGCATCTCTCTAAGTTTTATTCTTTAGAATATTTATTATCTCAAATACTAGGAATGAAGAGTGAGAAATGTTCTCATAAACTTTTTTTTTTTGCCTAGATCTGAGTGCTTTGATATAGAAAGGTGCAGATGAGGAAACTCCTATCAATGCAACCCAAGGCAACTGTTCTACTCTTTATGCTCTCAGAGAGTTGCCTGGGGCTCCATTACATGCCCATGCACTGGCTATCCCCCATGCCTGAAATGCTTCCCTTCCTCACTGCTAGCTCTTCACTTCTCTGACGTCCTTCACGACTCAGCTCCAACCTCCCTTTTAGTAAGAGGCCTTCCTGGCTCCCTCAGCTGCTAGTGCCCTCCCCGAAGAGATGACCCACCACCTATCTTGACATATCATCCATGTACCAATTTATTTATGGGTTGTCTCCCCCATTTCAATGTCAGCATCTTGAGAGCTCCTTCAGGACTGTTTTTCACCTTTCCATCACCAGTAAATCAGCACAGTACCTGACACACAGGAAAAACTTAAAAAATACTTTGTAACTGAGTAAGAGGTCAGGAGGCTTGCCCACAGGCACATTACAGACAATGCATGTTAGAGGCAGGACTTCTGTCCAGGTTTTCCCACCTCTGAATCCAGCTCTTTATCCAATATACCATGCTGTTTGTGTGTCAACAACAAGATTTAAATTTCAGTGTGAGCCAATGTCTTGTTTCCATATTTTTCGAATGGAAATCACATTAAGATATTCTACTATTGCTCCTTCCCGAAAAATCAATGGAAAGCATTTGTTAAGTACTTACTCTGTCCCAGGCACAGAGCTACTGTACACTGAAAAGAAGAATCCTGTGCTAAACTGGAGATAATTCAATAACTAGGACAGTCTGCCTTAGAGTGCTTCATAGTTTAACCGCAGAAAAGAGGTCTGGAGCTCTGAAAGCAGAAAGACAGGCAAAAGTTAACAGCCATTCTCAACATTTTGTCTTTACTTGTATGTAGAAATTAGTATAAAAAGCAAATTTCTCATAGAGACTTCCATATCTGAGAATTTCTCTTCCGAATTCAATAATTTTAGTATCTATTCTACTCTTTTTCTCATTCAATTCTGTTTGGTTTCTAAGTTAAGAAATGTGTTTCATTTGCATAAATGGTAACTATTCTGAGATAAGGGGGTGGGCTTTACCATTCATAACTATACATTTAAATTCTCTAGAGTATCATTCATACTTCAAATGGAGCAGGAAAAAAATACTCATTCAGTTTCACTTTAATGGTGACTAACACATGAATGATTATAACGTTAGGTTCTGAAGGGCTAGGGGGTGGTCTCCAAATGCCAGCTATCAACTCCAATCATTATAAGTTCATTATGGTCCATACTGACCCAAGGACCACTGCCACTTCCTTTGACCAATTTCACCTAAGGGGAAAAATGTGAAGATTATGTAACATACCTATTAACTACACAGGCTTTATAGAGTTATAAAGTATCTGTGTACAGTGCCATCACAATAGTAAAAGATTTTACCAAATAATCTCAGAATAGAAATTAGCAAGGAAGCAACCTTTTAACCAAAACTCTATAATAGCTGCTCTCTAGGCACTGATTTTTCTAGCTAAGAATGTGAGCTCTTGGGAGGGAATATAAATGGAAGGGAATAGTAGTTCTTTACCCCTATCTAGTTTTAATCAGTGATAGAAATTGAATTTACACAGATCTGCATAAATTATTCAGTTGTCTGTGCTTCTCTCATACATTTAAACTTAATAAAAACTTAATAAAATAAAATGTAAACTGAATAAAAATAACTTGGCTATCTTTAAAACTGTCATATCTTGATTTCTTCCCTCTGCCCCTGTTCTCCCTACCAAACAGACCCAAATATGGCAGGGACAAACAGGAGACAAAAGCTTGTCTATCCAGCACACCTGGAGACAACAGCTAACATTTATATAGCTCTTGTAGGACTTACAAAGAACTTTCCTCACAACAGGAGGCTGTGAGGTAGATAATACAAATATGACTCCCATTTTACTGATGAACAACCTGAGGCTTAGAGACATGACGTGGTCTGCCCAAAACTGGAATTCAGGTCTTTCCCTCTCCTTCCTGCACCGTGTCCTCCTGCTGCACTGGCAACTCTTCCAACACGTTCCTCCATGCCCCATCTCTCTCTCCACCTTCTAGGTCTCTGCACAGATTGTTCTTTGTGTCTGAGACATTCCTCTCTTTCACCTTGACCTCTTGGCTTCCTTTACGGCTCAATCCTCCTTAGGAGGCCTTCCCTACCACCATCTCCAGCTATCCTAATGCACTCCACCTTTCCAGATTACACTTCACCTACCCTGTAAACATCTTCGATGGATTCCACTTACTATACATGTTGTCACTGCCATTATAATGTCCATTTCATGAGGGCAAGAACTCAGGATCCTTTTTTTTTTTTTGCCTTTCTCTAGAATTTAGCTCACTATTTAGCACACAGTAAGCACTAACTAAATGCTTGTTAATAGACTGAAGTCTCAACTCCAATCCAACAGTCTTTCTACTACACCACATTGCTGAGCCTGCATTCATTGCCTTTTACTGCCCCAATTAACCAAATGTCAAGCTATCTCAGCACTAACATAGAGAAGAGAAAAAAGATAACTAAAGCAGAAGTCACGGAACAAGAAAGAGGAGAATGAATCACCACAATTATAATAACTCACATTTACATAGGCTTACAAAGCATTCAACAAATTTCATTCAACACCTGTAAAGCATGTTGTCTGTACAAAGCACTATGAGAGTATGCAGGGGTCTGAGTTTATTCACCCTGCCGCCACACAAGTTCATACCCTGAAAAGCACAGATTTCAAAGGATCCCACCCTAAATTCTGCACCATTTCCTCCATCCCAGCCTCTATCAATCTTTCGTTTGCTTCCTGTTCTGCCTCTTCCTGTCACTTCCAAAGGGACTGTTGGCAAATGGCTTTGCCTCTCTAAGCTTCAGTTTTCTCATTTGTCAAATGAAGGCGAATGAGGCTGCCTGAGCAGGAGGCAAACTGCCAGTCATCCCCACTCCAACAAAACACCCAAATATGAACAAGCGCAAATCATGGTCAAGAAATCCAACGAGAAACTACAGTGAGAGACTTCTTCCACCCCAGAACTGGACAAGAAGTCAGCTGGAAAACCACAGGCAATAGGAAATGGGTGCATGTTGCTGTTCAGTCATTTCAGTCATATCCAACTCTTTGTGACCCTATCTGGGTCTATTCTTGGAAAAGATATTGCAGCAGTTTGTCATTTCCTTCTCCAGCTCATTTTACAGATGAGGAAACTGAAGCACAGAGAAGTGACTTGCCCAGGGTCACATAGCTAGTAAGTGTCTGAGGCCACATTTGAACTCAGGTCCTCTAGACTCCAGGGCCGGCATTTTATCCACTGTACCACCAAGCTGCAGGAAATAGAGACCCTCCAGGAAATCCAACAACAGTGCCGGGTAATTAATCTCCCAGGGCTATCAGAGACAATGCACATAATGTCTGAAGTCCCCCAAGACAGAACATGAGGGGAGTTGGGGGGAGTATGTGGGGGGGGGTGTCATCAGAAAACTCCAGAGTAAGGACCTCGGAAAGTCCCAGGGAGCAGTAGGCAGAGATCAGCCACCAGTATGTTGCCACAAGGCTCAGGCCAGGTACAGCCCAGACCCAGACCAATAGGCTCTTAGGTCACTAACACTCTGTCACGAAATGGCCTGAGCAGGATCTAAAGATCTAGCACTCAACCTCCAAGATTCAGGGGAGGTGGAGCTCAGTGCAGGAACCCAGGAGAGAGAGGACAAGAGCAAGCAGGGCCAACCTTCCCACTCATAAACATATGGAGCAGGGGTAGGGGGAAGCCTGGTCCCAGCCCAATGCCCCAAATCAGGAACTAAAGCTAGAAGTGAGTATATAAAGAAAACACTAACTAATATCAAGAATTATTACAAATCTAGAGATCCCTCAAAAGGATAGAGTGACTCTGTAACAACTGAAAGCAGAGATTCAATAGGAAAAATGGATTTTCCACAAGGACTAAAGGAATATCTAGAAAAATGAAGCAAGAGATAAATAATAAAATAAAAGCTTTAGTGGAAAAGAATTGAGAGAATGAGAAGCTTAGTAGAGAAAATATTAATCTTTGCCCAAATAACAGACTCCCTGAAAACTATAATAGACAAAACAGAAATCAATGACTCTATAAAACAATAAGAAATAAAATCAAAAGACTGAAAAAATATAAGAAAATGTGAGATATCTGATATCAAAATAATAGACCCAGAAAATAGGTTAAGGCAAGATTATTTACAATCAGTAGACTCCCTAAAAACTATGACTTTAAGAAACCTGGATACTACATTTCAAGAAATAATAAACAAAAACTGTCCAGACCTACCAGAATCAGAGGGCAAAGTGAAGATAGGAAGAATCCACAAATTTCTCTGTAACAGAGAAACCTCTGATAAAGGTTTAATATACAAGATATACAAACAATTAAAACAGACAGATACATAAAAGACCATACTATGTAAAATATAAATATATAAAACCTACAATTTAAATATATGATTAAAATATATATTACCCACATATAAGTGGACAAAGGCTACAAGCAAACAGTTCTCAAAATTGTCAACTATTAACAACCATATGAAAGAGTGCTTCAATCTAAAAATACAAATGAAAACAATGCTAAAATTACACCTTACACCCTATAAATTAGGAAAGGTGACAAAAAATGGGAATATTCAGTGCTGTTGGGATTGTAGGAAGATAGGCATACTAGTACACTGTTGGCAAAGCTGTAAGTGCAACTATTTTGAAAAGCAATTTGAAATTATGCAAATTAAGGTGTTAAGATATCCATATCCTTTGATACAGAAATTCTATTACTTAGGCTTAAACCCCAAGAAGATCATTGATAAGAAGAAAGTCCTCACATAAAGCAAAATATAGCAGTACCATTTGTGATTGCAAGGAACTGAAACAAACTCGTTGCCTATAGACTGCATAGTAGCTAAACAAATTGTAGTACATACAGTAATGGACTATTACTGTGCTTAAGAAACAACAAATGTAATAAGGAGTTCATGTAGAAAGATCTATGTGAACGAATGCAGAGTGAGGTTAAGTAGAGCAAAGAAAGCAATATACACAATGACTACAACAATGGAAATGACAAAACCACAAAAAAAATCAAAAGTAAATGTTGCAAAATTATAAAGAAAAAAACATGACTCAAAAATAGAAATATGAGAAAACACTCCTATCTCCTCCCTTTGTAGAGGTGAGAATTTCATAAGTGTTGTACATTGCATATGTTTTCATTTTTTTAATGTATTCATCAGTTACGCTGATTTTTTTTTTCCTTTCCTTTTCTCAAAAAAATACTTATTGCTATATGGGATGACTGTGAAGAGAGGCAGGATATTGGGGGAATTATGGCTGTATAATAAAACAAATGACATGAATAAAAACTTATTTTAAAAAAATCTACTTGGAAAAAGCCCCAAAAGAAAAAGTCCCAAGAATGTCAAAGCCAAAATCCAGAGCTTCCAAATCAAAGAAAAAAATACTGCAAGCATCCAGAAAGTTCAAGTATCAAGGAAATCAGGATCACACAAGATCTAGTAACCTTTATTAGAACTGAGAGGAGATCTTGGAATATAATACTTCAAAAGGCAAAAGAGAGCTAAGTTTCCAAACAAGAATAACTTACCCTGCAAAGCTGAGTATAATCCGATAGGGAAACAAATGGACCTTTAATAGAATAGAGAACTTTCATGCATTTCTGATGAAAAGAGCAGAGTAGGAACTCTGAAATACAAATATGAGAATCCAGAGAAATCTAGACAGGTAAACTTATCTGACCAATTGGAAAGAGTTATATAATGATGTAATGCTAA